ATATGATAACAAGTTAGATATTATTAAGATAACATAAATTTTATCTATATTTTAAACATATTTAGAAAAAAACATAGATTTCTGTAAAGTACACTAATATTAAAAGTTTAAACCTTACTTGAACATGGTTTAAAAAATCTTCAGATACTATAGGGTGAATAGGTAAAAAGTTTTTTATAGCTTGTCTTGTAATACTTACTTGACATTCACATACTACATTCTCAATGATTTGTTGTAGGAAATAACAATATCTAATCCATATCTATAATAAAAATTATTTGTTTAATTAATGTTTAATTTAAAAAAAACAAATATGCAATTGATAATAGTAATTTACTTTTTTCCAGGTCTTCTCTTGCACTCCATGTTCAGTTTTTTTGATGCGCAGTACAAATAACTTCATAAAAACTTTCTACAGAGCAAACTTGTGTTCTAAATTATTCTTATTGTTTTTAAGTAAATAAAGCCCTCTCTGTTGTGTTGAAGCAAAGAATTTTAAAGATATGAATAACCCAATATTTAAGTTTTGAATTATGTGAAAGGTTAGGATTTCTTAATATATTTAAACATTTATTATAATAGTTCATATTCATTAAATTTCTATTATTTTTTCATTGATCAGTACAGTAATGGCACATTGTCATTTAAAAATAAATGACACTTGTTATTTGACAAGTCATTTTTGTTATAAAAAAATCATTTATTTTTTTATGACTATACTTGTTATTTATAGTTTATATAAATTTTATAGACTAGCACATGCGAATTTTAATTATAAGATATTGGTCATACAATGATTAATATCATGAAATTTGTTTTGTCAAAGCAAATGGTTGGCTGACATGTGCCGCACAGCGGCATATTTCAGCCAACGATTTGTTCTAGCAAAATAAATTTTATGATATTTATCATTACATAATCCAATATCGATGTTATCGTGCAATTATAATTATAATTTACAAGTCATTATTGGCTAACTGAGTTTTAATTCGAGATTGTTGTGCTTATGTAATAAAGTACAAAAAATAACAAAAAGAAAAAAATATATGATCATAAAAGTTTGCACAATAACTAATAATTAGGCATACCGTGAATGCCAAATAATCAAATAATTATTTTCAACAGCTCTTTATAGTCAGTATTAGATAATTATTCTAACAGCTCTTTATGAGTTGGTATTAGATAATTATTATTCTAATAACTATTTATAGTTGCTATTAAATAGCTATTCTAATAATATTTATAGTTAACTTTTTAGAGTCAGAATTTAACATTTTAATTAAAATGGTTGTTAATATTTCAAGTTAACAGTGATGTCAACAGATCAAAAAGAGAGCAAAAGCAGTGAGACAGTGGCAGGTTGACATTTATATGAGTGTCTAGGACTCCAGCAGGAAAAGCTAGTACAATCAACTTTGAAAATCGATAATACAGCAAGGACAACAAATACAGATGTTAATCTTTTTTTGCAGTTATAAGCCCTATAAAAATTTTTGAAATACATATTCCAACTTTCTCCAGATTATCATTCCATTATCTTTCTGGAAAATGCTCATTTTTCAGAACAAAACATATACAAATTCCTGTTTATTTCTATAGAATCTAGGTAAATTTCAAGTAGATATTAAATCTGTGTAAGATTCAGCTTCTAATACTTTGTACTTTGTTATAATCAGAAGCCTAATATTATTCAGAATTTATTAGAATTCTATAGAAATGACCAGGAATTCATATATAGCTTATTCCTAAAAATGAACATTTTCAAAACAATAATGGAACAATACTAGAGAAAGTTGAAATACATTTTTTGAAAATTTTTTATAGGAAAGATGAACTGTAGTCATTTATAAATATGTTTTTTATGACTTGTCATTTTGCCATGGCTTTGTATAAAATTTTTTTATAATAAATGACATTGTTATTTTAAAATGACATGTCATTTATGGTCATTTTTATAAAAATTTTTATGACCTTGTTATTTGTCATTACTGGATCAGTATATGTTTTTAGAATGTAGTCAAAAGACTCAGGTAAGAAAAGTAAGAGTTGGTATTTCCATAATTATTAACAAAAAAAAGATATTCTAAAGATATCTAAAACATACTTGTTGTTAAGTCTAATAACTACTTGACCTTTATCAATATAATATGTAATTAATTTATTAACTTTTATTATCATATTATTGTCATTAAGTCTGATAACTATTTTAATCTGAAGCACCAATTGATATGAATTATTTATTGATCTATAAAAATTCAAAAATGACACCTGTTGATCCTAAATTGACAAGAATCAATAAACATTGTACAACAGTTACACTAAAAGGATCATTATGACAAAGTCTTGTACAAGTATCACAATTAGAATTGAAAGATAAATTGAAAATTTTATACTGTATAGCTTTGATTCATTTACAGAAACTTGTTCATAGAGATTTACATAGTAGGAACATTTTGCAAGAAATTTTGCAAGGCGTATATATTACAGATCTTGGACTTTTTTAAAAGTAAAAGAAGTAAAAATTTGTGGAATTCTACTATATATAATGCCAGAAGTATTAGTGAGTCACTAATTAGATATTTATAATGTAGCAGTTATTGTGACAGAGGTTTTGACAGTGCAAAGAGCATTTGATGGAATTCAAAAATTATCAAACCTAAAAGTTTAGGACCAGATTGTTATGTTAAGTTAGCTATAGATAAAGATGTTGATAAATGACCTACCTACTACTTGAAATAATCACACATTGGTTAGATTAAATAATTCAGAAAGATGATAATGAAATTAAAATACAAATTTTAGAAGCTAATATTTAACATTAAACCAGAACCAATTAAGCAAATATATTCTCAAGGCTTATATACTGGCAAGTTATATTATACAAATAAATTTTCAGAATATATAGTAAACCAATCACAATATAGAAATTCAGAAACTTAAATTAAATTATATAAAATATTTAATTTCATTATATTTTATAGATAAAATTTTTCCTAATTAATTTATATATTTAAATTATTACTCTTATAATTTGATTATTTGCTTCTTGGGAGTAAAAAATCAAGAAATCAATTTTATCTTTTTTGAATCTTTTCTTAAAAATTTAAACTATTATTTTTATATAAATGCTGTACATAAATAAATTTTGCATCATCAATACCTATTCTTATTATAACATAACATAGGGTTTCACTTTAGCCCTAATAAAACTCAGTATTTAAATTTTGATCTAACGCAAATTTAATTTTACTTATAGCATGAAAATGATTGAGGAGTACTAATATGCTAAACACTTAACATAGAAAATTTTCATAAGAATGGTGTTTATCTTTTTTTTAAGATAAATCTTTAAATCTATTATAGGCTAAAAGTAAGTTAAAATGTTCTTGTTTCAGAAAATTGGCATCCAAACCCACTTTTAAAAGATACCAATAATACCAACCAACCAAAAACATCATCATATTTAAAGAAACGGGTATAGTTATTGGAAGAAATCTAGAGGTTAAGCAAAAGCTGAGACCTAGTTATCCATTTTAAAAAATTAATAAACTAGGTGGCAAATTACAGTTTATAAGTTTTTTTTTTTTAGGTCTACAAATTTTTTTAGAGAATTACTATTTGTACACTAGTGTATACACACGGTGTATTGTTATTTCTTAAAATTTCAATTATGAACTCACCTTTTGGCTTCTAACAAAAAAATCTTTGCAAATTTTAGTATAAACTATGATTCGCCCAATCCAAAATCTCACTTTTAATTTTTCATTGTATAACATGTAGAGATGGGCACGCACGTAATCACACGTGAGATTTTTAATATGATCCCAAATAAAATTATTTGGCTGGCATTACCAAACTATTTGGCCAGCATTAATATAATATCTGGCCAGCATTAACTATCAAGAAATTTCTAATTAATTTATTTATAATAAATGACTTATAAGAAACAACTAATTTGAACAAAAAAATTAATTTTTTAATAATAAATTCTGTATGGGTAGGGTTGGATTGGTCCTGCAAAGACCAGTTAAAGACCAGTCTTTTTAACCAGTTAGGTAGTCCTTGGTCCCTGGTTTTTTAACCAGTTCAGACCGGTTAAAAATAAACTTTATTAAAATAAACTTTAAACTATATCAATATATTTTAGTATTAAATAAAAATCTTAGTATTATTATAAATATATATCTATGATTATAAATTTGGTGAACTATATCAATATATTACAAAAATCTCTATATTTTATTATATAAATATATATTTACAAGTTATTATATAAATATGTATTTCGATTATAGAATTATATGTTATTATATAAAGATGTATTTACAATTATAGAATTATGTATAAGTTCAAATACATTCAAATGATCCTTTTAACAATATGGCAAATCTTCTAGCCAAAAAGCACCAACAGCCTACAACTGGTATCCTCCAACCAATATACATAACCCAAGCTTTGTTATTTAATGGAAAGATCAATATATCGAAAAATCAAGAAGGCAATTCACCAAAGAAATTCGCAGAGCATATACAGTTGCATTATGGTCCTCACAAAAATATAATACAGAATGGGAGAACTATACCCAATCAATCGACTGGAACTTCACGTGGCATTACTTAAATAACAACCAAAAAACTATATCCACTATCACATTTCCCAAGCTAAGCTGCATGAAAACATTCAGAATTAAAAACATGCTCAATGATCTGCCAATACATTCCACTTCCACTCAATTACACCTGGTATCTTTCAAGCTGCTACTTGCTTTGCTTGTAATTCTCTAGACTCACCAACCCACTGGCTT